TGGCGAGTGCATGTGCCCTATAGCGAAAACCTCTCCAAAAAAAAAAAAAAAGAAAAGAAAAGAAATGTGGTCGTCCTGTGTTCCTGGTGACCCACACGACACTAATCACCGATGCTCTTGCAAAGTGACAGATAGTCCAATCTTCATGATCGAGATAACACTCTTTAGGAGCGTTAGTCCAGGGAGCAGATGGTGTAATGATTACATTGCTGGACTCCCACATTGTCAGTCGTGGTTCAAGTCCTGGACCCGGTGGCTTAAACTTACGCCGATCGCATGTGTGTGAGTGCCCAAGATCCCGAGAGGAGAATGGAGAAGGGATTGCTAAATATCGAAAAAGCAAGGAAACTTCAACTCTTCCACTCTTCCACTGAGTAACCCAGGCATTCTTTTCCTCTTGGTAAGAAGACACACTGACCTTGTGCTTTAATGGGGACAAATGCCGGGAAAAGAGCCAAGTTTCCATAGGAACAGTAAGAGAATTGAGGTGCTAGACTCCACAAGGCCAGCCGAGGTTCGAGTCCCAGACCTTGCAACCAGAAAATCATGCCGAGGTTTGCATGCAGGCCCAAAACCCTGGGAAGAGTTTGGAGGAGAAAGGATTACAGTGTGGCCATCACCCAGGGAGGTGATTTCTCACTTCCCCTTTTATGTCTTTCTCTGGCAAGTGTACACACCCTATGACAAAAACCTAATAGAGGGGCTGGCAGGTGGCATGGTGGTTAAGGTACTGGACTCCCACAGAGTTGACTGTGGTTCAACTCCCAGACCTGGTACCTTGTTTTTTCACTTTCCCTTTCTCTCTTTCTCTGGTCAAAAAAAAAAAAAAAAATCATAATAATAGATAAAATTAAGTAAAAACAAACCAAAAAATAAAACAAAAAAATTATTCTTAAAGGATCAACCAGGGACTAGCAGCTGTCATAATGGCTATGTCACTGGACTTCCATACAGTCGACTTTGGTTCTAGTCTTGGATCCGGTGACTTAAACTCACACTGGGCGCATGTGTATGTGTGCCCAAGATCCCAAGAGGAGAACAGAGGAGAAGGGACTGTGGAATGGCCATCCCCCGGGGGGTGATTTCTCGCTTTCTGTCCGTCTGTCTCTCTCTTTCTGGCGAGCGTATGCACCCTGTAAGCAAAAACCTCTTAAAAAAAAAAAAAAGGTCAGTGAGGTATCGTGGTGGTTAAAGCGGCGGGATCCCACATGGTCGACTGTGTGTGGGGGGGTTGGTTGGGGGCTACACTGCAATCTCTTCTCTAGTCTCCTCCCAGGATTCTGCACATGCACGCCCACGTGACTGGCCTGATTTTCAAGCCACTGAATCTGGGACTCAAACCGCAGTTGGCCATATAAGAGTCTAGTACCTCCACCACCACACCACCTGCTGGCCCCTCGACGCTGCGATGTGAGTCCTGGCCCTGGGAGCTGGAAAACGCACGCAGCATGTGTGCACGCGTGCTGCAAACCCAGAGCACAGAGAAGGGGTTGCTTTTTGGTCATTCCTCGAGGGGCAGGGTTCTCTTTTTCACTTTCCCTCTTTTCCTGCCTGTCTAGTACACCTGACCTACAGCAAAATTTTTTTTAAAAAAGCAAAAAAAAAAAGAAAGAAAAAGAAAAGAAAAAAGAAAAACTATTCTTAAATAAAGGTCTGAGTGTGCCTGCTTGGAACAGAAGGCCCTTAGAAGACAAAGTTGGTACGGCGATATTCTTTCCTTTCTAGGTTGGTATGTACCCTTCACGTGGGAAGGACTATAATTAGGCCAGTACAGTAGCTTTGATATTTACCAAAAATACCAAAGTCACGTAAGTCTGTCGGCAACCTGATGCTCTGATGAAACGTCTGAAAAAGGCCACCGTGAGAGAGTCGCAGAGGCGGCCAGGACGTAACTTCCAGCCCCAAGGCAGGACTTGCATGGGCAGCTGTCAGTCCCAAAGCTACATCCTATCAGGAGCCGCACCGGCATTCGACGGCACCAACGGGCCAGGTATGGCTGAGTTCCAGCGCGGGCCGGCCTCTGTCCATCATTTCCAGGGAATCTACTCTGTAAACACTCAGCCTTGACAAAGGGCCTGAGGGTTATTCCAACTTCCATCTCCAGGGCCAGGCAGTGGTGCAAATGGGCCCACAGGGAGAATCCTGAGCTCGCCTCCTGGGGCCCCCTGTGCACACCAGGCACCCACGTATGCCCGTGGTCTGGGCAGGCTAGGACTGGGCGGGGGCGCACAGCAGTGATGACCCTGTGGGGTACTGTCACTCTCCCTTACAGAACCAATAAACTTTAAACTAAATGCTGTCTCAAATTTTCAAATATCTGGGATGTTGGAGAGCGGCCTCAAGTTTACTTGTTAGTAATTTTCCTAATGTGTGGAAAATAAATCTGTGTCACGGTAAAACAACACTTAGTTCAAAGAGAAAAATTACAGGAGACAACGTCAGACGTTATCCTCACAGTGAATGACAGTAAAACCAAAATTCTATCAATATTTCACAAAAACATTAAACGTATAACCAGAAGCCAAAAAACCAAGCGACATTCACTTCCTCTTAGGAAAAAATGAACTAAACAGTGCTAGAAGTTAAATTAACATTACCTAAGGCAGGAGATGTATTTGGTGACTCACACATTCCCCTTTGATGTCAATTTTATTTATTTATTTTCTAAACATTATTTACTTAATTTTTATTTACTCATTTATTCATTTTAATTTGACCAGAGAGAGACAGAGACAGAGGGAAAGTGAAAAAGCAAGCCACCAGATCCAGGACTCCAACCAGTCGACCATGTGGGAGTACCTCGTGCCTTAACCACCACGCCACCTGCCGGTCCCTGACATCAATTTTGAACACTAACGAGCTGGCCTCTCAGAAGCAAAATCTTTCAAATATGTAGTATCTTTAAACTTCCAGTCCAATAAATTAAAAACTATTTTGCCTCCTGATTCCAATTTCAAAGTCTATTCTATTTTTGTTTTTTAAATCATGAGTCATTTCAAACACTCACACCCATGAGATTTACTACTTTAAATTCAATCCATTCAAATGTACTGTATGTGGGCCAGTCGGCGGCATGGTGGTTAAGGTAGCTGGATCCCACATGGCCTACAGAGAGGTTCGATTCCCTGGACCACGGCCTTGAAAAACACTCCCAGCAGCATGCTGTGCAAGCCTGCCCAAAATCTGGAAAGGAGAGTGGAGGGGAGGGGAGGGAGGTGAGACCATCCCTGAGAGGGGATGCTTTCTCACTTTCTCCGGCCCCACCTCCGGAAAGTGCACGAGCCATCCAGGAAAGAAAAAAAAGGTGAATACTAATAACTGAACAAGGACCATCCGAATTCAACCAGAAACGCTGAATATTAACTTTACTCCCCTAGCACTTCTGTAGGTGATTTTGATTTTTCTGCACATGGAAAAAAAGGAGAGGGCAAGTGGAAAGAAAGGTGAGTTATCCCGTAAGTAGAATCTGATGAAGAGGAAAGCGCGTGATGACAACTTCACTGTTTAGAACATTACAAGTCCACCATCCCAAGCCGAGAGCCTTACACGCCTTTCCTCGCTGCAGGATCGGAATAACAAGCTGGCACAGCGGGCTTTCACTCCGGACCGTGTCCAGGGTCCCCGCGGTGCCGGGGAAATTTCCCGCAGGGAGACGCGGCCAGCTGGGCTCCGCCGTTCTGATGCAGGCTGTCCCTCCCGCAGAGGACGAGGGGGAGCGCAACGGGGTCGAGCGTTTGCAAACGCGCAGACCACCCTCAGTGAGGGCTGCCACCCGAAACGGGGCGGAGGAAAGCAAGAGCCTGGTGTTTCCAGCACTCGGCGCCGCCTGCCGACGCCAGGCTCGCAGGAGGCCAGCAGCCCCCGCC